CACTTATCAGAATTCTAGAGTTCTAATATTAAGAGAAGATAAGGCTTATTCCAGTTTTAGAACATCAGAACCATTAACAACTTTAGCATTTCTAGAGTATAAACAAAGGTGTGAGTAAAATAGTATCAAGCAAAACTTCAAAAATTAAAAAGATCAACACAGTGATTTATAGTGGTTCGGCACTAACTCGCCTACATCCACTGCGCCCAAGACTCATCTTGAGATCCCTCAACTATGTTATCTCTTTTCAGGGTAGAGACAAACCAACAGTACAAGGCAAATCAGATCAACACCTAAGATCTACCCTTTATCCCACTAGAATTTTTCAAGGTTCTAAGTTTAACCTTAAGCCTTTTCTGTTTTTGACAAGTACAAAAACTCAATTCAAGACATTAGGAATCTCTTCTCACGGGAAGGTCGCTCTGATAACCTCTTTCACCAATAGCTTCTCACCTAAGCTATTACACAAATTTTATCAAATAAAACCTTGTATACTAAAAGATATACAGGAATCTCAATTTTTTTTTTTTTAGACAGGACAGAAAATTGCAAAATATAAGTACAGGAAAAAAAGTTTTCAGATTAGAAAATCGTTATAGAAACACAGGAACTGTTTTTTCAAAAAGTAGTGATTATAAAAATTTTTTTCTCTTTTTAAAGATAAAAAACGTAAAGTATAAAGAGGAAAAGAAAAAACGGGGGTAGGGAGTAGTTTTGAAGATAAGATATTGTTACAATAAGTGAATACTCTAAAATTAAAAAACTCTCTTCCACCCATTTTCAAAGAAAGAGTGAAAACTCCTTTTTATAGAGAGATTTGTGACTCTCGTTTTTAGAAAGTGGATATTTCTTTTTGAAATCAGAATATTTGCCTTCCTTATTTGGAAGATACGAAAATCTTAGTTACCAAAAATTTGTTTTATCCTTTTTGGTAAGAAAATAGGAGATGATCTTTCTTTCCTTAAACATAAAGATTTTCGAAAGCAATTTATTTGAGAAATATTTTTCGACAAGATTCTACTTACTAAAACGAAAAAATAAGATCTTCATTCGTTTTAGGTAAGAGAATAAATTAAAATTCTTAGATCTTCAAAGAGGATTTCTGAAAAAGAAAGCATACGATTTATTACCAAATACGATTTATTACCAAAATTGTTAGAGACATAATCTCTATAATTTTAGGTAATTGAATCATTTCGATTTCTTTTAAAAGGAATTTCGAAAACAACTTTTGACGAGAGGATTTATTTTGAAGAATCTAAATTTCGAAAAAATTTTTTGATGAGAGAAAGATTAGTTTTTGTTCTTATAGCTGAATTTTCTCTCTATCCTACAATGAATCCTAAAGACCTAACCACTAGGGTCTTCGGATGTTTTCACACACTATGGATTTTGTAGGACTTGCCTTGTTCGTCTATTTCTTTCCATACGTATTCTGCATAAAATATTATTAGCACGAATAATATAATTTAAATTTATTTGTTTTGTTTTAATCATCAAAATTCCGAGATTAGAATTTGACCCTTGAGACCCTTGAGCCAAGAAAACCTCCATGGGTCCTCAGGTTCGACAGGTCCAGTACTTAAAGTTCTGTAGAGGCTGGAATTATAATTACATCTCCAACTGGTGTGAAGACTGTTAGGTCCTTTAATCTGGATCTTCAATGCACCAACAACCAAGCGGAGTATGAAGCTTTGATTATTGGCTTGGAGATTCTTAGGGAGCTTGGAGCTCAGGAAGTACACATCATTGGCGACTCTCAATTGGTAAACAATTGCTGGGGGAATATAAGTGTGGCAGTCCAGCTTTAATAACTTGCTTTGCAACTAATATCCAATTGTTAAATGATTTCAAGGAAGTAGCGTTCACACATGTCCCAAGGGAAGAAAATTGGGAAGCAGATGAATTGGCCCAAATCGCTTCTGGTTTGAGGATGTCATAAGAACTAATAGAAAAACTAGTGTGCATCAGAAAGAAAAGACATCCTTCAATTAAGGAAAGAGGTATACCAATTGAATCATTTTATACTGACCTTGAGTCTAATATTGCAAATGATTGAAGAGTGTGAATACTCAAATTTTGAGGCTCAAAAATCCAGTTTTCCTGGACTACGAATAATAAAATTTGCTACAGTAAATTTGACTTTTGCTACAGTGCCTGTTTTCCCGAACTGCAAACAGTCCGGCCGGAGCAGAGGCCATTTTGGAAGTTCACTGAAAGTATGCCAATATGGTACTTAAAACGTCCGAAATGTCGCGAGGATCACGGAACAGGTCCCGGAATATTTTTGGATCACGGAACAGGTCCCGGGAATAGTTCGCGAGATCCGAAACTTCCTGAAAACTCCTCTGGAGTGAAAGGCCCAAGGGCGCCGCCGAGCACGGCGGCTCCGGCCGCCAGACATGGCAAGGCCAGCAGCCGCCGGTCATTGGGCTGCACCGGTTCTTTCTCCTCTTCATTTTTGCCACTCCTGTTCTGTGTGACCGGACGATCTTTCTCCCTCACGCTTTTGCGATTCTTTTACCTTTGTTTGCATTTTTAATCAGTCTTTATTGTTTTTTATGTGTTGTGATACTTGGGCCACTATAAATTGAAGCAAATTTAAAATTTAATTAAATATTTTTCCCAGATGCGAGGAGCTTAATCTGGAGTTAAGAAGCGGTCGTCGATTGAAATCAGGTTACGAATAAACAGAACTCTTCTCATTTAATTTTAGCACTTCATGCATTAATTTCTCTTCTACTCTTAATAATTCTACAACTGCATAAATTGCATTCATTGTCATTTTTAGGTAAATAGAACTACCAAATTGCTTCAAGTAAATAAATTTAAGCTTAAGTACCCGGTTAATTAATAATCGTGGTATTAATGCTAAATCCGACAATATTGGCTAAAAAGCCTAGTTAATCAATAATTACGGTTTAATTGCCTTTATTTCGAACAATCCGGCTTAAGTCCAATTAATCAATAACTGTGGCTAAAAAGCCTTAATCAGTCACGTTTTGGCAACAAATTGCCTACAATAAAATCAACCACATTTGGCAACAAATTGTCCACGGTTCAATCAATTTTTGGCAAACAAATTGCCTATAAATTAGATTAACCACTTTTTAGCGACAAATCGCTTAAATCCGAAGCTTTGGCAAAATGCCTTAGAATTAATTTTCAAGTCCAATAATGGATAATTGTGGCTAAAAGCCTGAATCAATCGCGTTTTGGCAACAAATTGGCTTACAGTTTATCAATCACATTTTGGCAATAAAATTGCCTAAGATTAAACATCAAAGCTTTGGCAAAATGCCTTGAATTAATCAACCAATTTTGCCTAGAAAGCCGTTAAAATCAATCAAATTCGGGCTAATAATAAGCCGCCAACCGAACATCAATTTTGGCAATGAATAAGGCCCAATATCAAGACTTTTCGGGACCTCAAAATCGCGCCAATCAACAATTTTGGCAAACCAGAATTGCCGTAAGATCAAACACATTTTTGGCCAAAGGCCCTAGAATCATCATTTCGTGGCGGACAATCGGCCAATCAACACTTTTGCAAACCAAATTGCTTAACCAACCATTGTTGGCTAAAAAGCCCCCCTTTAAAGATCGGTATCGAAATTTCAGCCCAAAAATGCCTTAAAAATCAACATTTTTCGGCTCAAAGCCTGAAAATTCGACCATTTGTTTTTGGCAGAAAATGGCCTTAAATATGGAACCGAGTTTTGGCTAATAAGCCTTAAAATCGAATCATTTTGGCGAACAAATCGCCCGCACAAAATCAATTTCGTCAATACTTAAGGCCTTCCGAACATCAATTTTGGCAATAATAAGCCCAAAGATCAACTTTGGCGACAAATCCGGGCCCGACAACCCAATTTTTGCACAAATGGCCTTAAAATACCAACATTGTTTGGTGGACGAACGCTCTAATCGAATCAATCGATCTTTGCGCAAAAGATGCGCTAAAACAAATGCACAAGCATACCAGCACACTTCATGCCATAAAGCATCCCCATTCAAAGCCCCTCTTTAAAAAGAGGCCCTATCGAACTACGTTGACTTTGATCTTCCATTCAAACGGAAGTACGTAGGGCACGTTCGGATTTAACCCCGGGCAGCAAGTCGAAATCACTTTAAAACATTTCAGTTAGGTCCATGTAACAATCATCTTTTTAGCCTTGCCAGAAAAGCAGGTTCATTGTTGGCTTTAGGTTAAGTTCATCCAGGTATGACATTGGGTCTCAAGGGATCCACCTCGGGTTTCGTAGATGTGTCGCCCTAACAAACAGTTGGGATAATTAAATGTAATAATTAAGGGGTTAATTAAATCGGAGTCTCTTAGCATTCGTTTTCCTAGTTTACCCGTAAATTTAATTAGAGAGGAAACAATATATAGAAGGGGCGGCGACTCAATACATTACGATGCATTGTGTTGCCCTCTTGTACATGTTTACCCTATAAAATAAGCACAAAATCGGTTAATTAAAATCGGAGTCACTTAGGGTTTTTCCTAGTTTACCCTAAAATAATTAAACAAGGTGGCGACTCATACATTCACGTGCATTTTTGCCCCTAGTCATGTGCATTCATATGCCTATGATATTTGGGGTAGGGGTTCACAAGGAGGACCTCTGAAGAAATATTTGGAGTGCCCATCTAGGAAGACTCCTTATCGGATTAAAGTTCAAGCTTTACACTACGTATTGATAGAGGATGTCCTATACTGGAAAACCATTGATGGGTTCTTGCTGAGGTGCCTTGAATTCTCAGAGGCAATGGAGGTTATGAAGTAGGTTCATGATGGCGTTTGTGGGGCTCATTAGGCAGGCCTTAAAATGAGATAGTTGCTTAAAAGACACGACTATTTTTGGCCGACCATCCTGAAGGATTGCTTCACTTATGAGAAAGGGTGCCAGCAATGTCAAAAATAGGAATCTATTCAAAGGATCCCAACAGAAGAATTACAACCTATCTTGAAGTCGTGGCCCTTTCAAGGTTGGGCCATGGATATCATCGTCAAAGTTCATCCAACATCCTCCAAAGGCCATTTCTTTATCTTGGTAGCTATAGATTATTTCATCAAGTGGGTGGAGGCAGTGCCCTTGAAGAAGGTTGAGCAACAAGATGTCATAGAATTTATCAAAGAGCATATCATCCATAGCTTTGGCATTCCCCAGAGTATTACAACATATCAGGGGACCATGTTCATGGGGCAGGAGGTTAAGGATTTTGTAAAGGATTATGGTATTAAACTCCTTACCTCCAGTCCTTATTATGCCCAAGCGAATGGTCAAGTAGAAGCTTCAAACAAAGTGCTCATTGAGGATAACCCTAGGGAGTGGCATCATTATTGTCAGAGACTTTATGGTCATATCATACTTCAAAGAGGAATGCTACTCAAACAAGTCCTTTTGCATTAACCTTTGGCCATGATGCAGTTCTACCAATGGAAGTTGTGGTTCTTTCACTTAGAGTAGCAAAACAAAATTGGTTAACTCCTAATGATTATACATAGGCTATGGCATGGAGCTAAAGGAACTCGATGAAGCACGTCATCAAGCATTCAGCAGAATGGCTGTACAAAAGAAGAGGATTGCCAGGACCTACAACAAAAGCATTCGAAAGAGATCATTCCAAGAAGGAGATTTAGTGTGGAAGGTAATTTTACCACTTGGTTCTAAATGCAGAGAATATGGCAAATGGTCTCCTAACAGGAGGATCCCTTTCAAGTTTATAAAGTCCTCAAAGGAAATGCCCATTGGTTATCGAGTCTGTCAGGAGAACCACATAAAAGAAACATCAATGGCCGTTACCTTAAGAAGTACCATCCCACCATGTGGGAGATAAAGAACAACAACAATGAAGGTAATTGAGCCAATCCCACGCTCTGAGAAGAAGGTTAATACAACCCTAGCCAATTAAACAAGTACTCTTGCAATCAACAAGGATAATCTAGCAAAGAACATACAATCATGGAAGTACCGTCAATCCCTAAAACCCCCCAAGTACTCTTGAAGAGAGAAAGAAAGAAATTTAAGACAAGAAATCAGAAACTTACCTCAAGTACTCTTGAAACAAATCTAAAATTCTTAGTGCAATTAATCTTGTAGAACTCACAATCTTAAAGTTGGTTTGCATTCATCCAACGAAGAACACGCTTTCTTTTGAAAGAAAGAATAAAATCACGTTTTTTGATTCATAATTGTCTTTGGCTGTCGTGCAGCTTTTACAAAACTAATATTAATACCCTCAAACCTAAACCTAATTAGCCTTTAGTTAAACTAACCTAGGCCTAACCCAATATGGCCCATATGGGCTTAATTTAAATACAAACCTAAGCTAACTAATTAAAATAGGCCTAACTTAACTATTAACTAATCTAGGGCTGGCCCAACTTTGGAATATAAGCCCAACCAGCCTTACAGTAATAAGTCCACTAAAAACAATTTACACAAAATAAGATAAGTGGGCCTGCATGCCCTACACACCCCATACTTAAGCTTACAATGACAAAACACGATTAAATTAAACATACGGCCCTACAACTTAACTGAATATAAATAATCTACGGGCTGGTCCCAACTTTGGGAATATAAGCCAACCCAGCCTTAACAGTAATAGAGTCGCACTGAAAAACAATTTACAACAATAAGAATTGAAGTGGAGCCCTGGCATGCGCCCTACTGCACACCCCATACTTTAAGCTTACAATGACAAACAATTCTTCTAATTTGCCCAGAAATAATAAAAACAATGGTATAGGCATCAATGGGCATGCCTCCTCAATGACAAAACATTCTTCTAAATTTGCCGAAATATAAAACATGTATAAGGCATCAATGGGCAGCCTCCTCTTTACACGCCTCAAGCACCATAATAAACTTAAGTGCTTCTTCAAGCTCAATCCCACATCTTGCATAGTTATGGTCTTGAAGCTCTAATATGACTTGTTCTTCAACAAATGCATTCAAGGCTGCTAATAGCTTAGTAGCACAAGCTCTTGTGATTCGCCCGATAGGTAGAGCTAGAGGATCCTTCACCTTGCTCCTTTGATCCGTATCAAGGTCACCTATAGTAAATAGCTCAATAATTATAGATAGGTGATATACCGATACCACGGTTAAGTATGTAAAATAAATGTAGGCAATATTCTGCCACCAAAATAAAGCATGTAAATAGCCTATTCCACGGTAATTCATGAATAAAATGAACAGGCCTACTAGCCTTTTATTATATAAATATACAAAGGTCAATTCACGGCTTTTGATAAATACCAAACAAATATCCAATAAAGATCCCCAAGTACATCAAAACAAATCAAAACAAAGTGAAGTCAACTAAAGAAGAATCAATCAAGGTCAACATCCTAGAACTAGCGCCAAGTCTGTGTATCTTAAACTCTAATACTTGGCGAGCTGCAATATTCACTTTCGCAACAGCTTTTTGATATCTGTCTCTTCTAGTTATAAAGTCTTTAATAGAAGACTGGGTCTCTATAGCCGAAGAGATAGTTTGCTGGTGAGAGGAGAACAAGTCAGTAATCTGAGATAGGATCTCCTGTGGCCGGCTAGAACCATCAACCCTGCTCAACACGTCTAATGAAGAAAACAAATGGCCACATTATTCCTCAGATAAGTCTAGTAAATTAAGAGTAAACAAGTGTTTAAGTTACTCCTTGGCTGCCTTAACAGAAGCAGGGGAAGGTTGGCCAAGAGAAGAAGCAGAAGAGACAGGAAAATCATTCAGAAAAGAAAAGTCTAACTCAGATAAAGGATGCTCAATCTCAGTGATAATAATCGGTGGAGCTGGAGGAGTAGGAGCCTACAGGGAAAATGGATGAAGTATAAGTAGCAATTTGGACAAAGAAGAACATATGAGATAAAGGAAATACATGTGGAGAAGAAGCTAGTGGAGCGTCTGAATTTCAACCAGTGGAAGGAGATGGTTGTCGAACAAGGGAAGTACAACCCAAAGGAGTCACATCAATCCTGAAAGTATCTCTGGAAGTGGATGAGGTAGAAGGAGAGCAACCAGTCATGAATGTCCTCTGAGGAGTGGCATCAACATTGCTTGTCTCCACTAAATGTGGATTTGGCACCTTTGAATAGTCTAAAATTACCTTTGGCTCATCTAGTTGCAACCTGGATAAAGGTTTCGATTTGTTAGCTACTCTTGTAGAATGCCTTGGTGTAGGTGTCTGCTGGGTCTCCTTCGATGTTCCCTTTCTCATTTTCTTTTGGGAAATTTGGATTTTTGGAGTATGTCTCCCTAGGCTGTGTAGCTAGCTTTCATTTCCTATTTAGAGAGTCTGAATTGTTGACCTGAGGAGAGATCAATGGGGAAAGAGAATCTGCAAAGGAAAAAGGAGATGAGATAATAGTTTAAAGACAGAGGAAGACTACTCAATATGCTATATACCTAGGGAGTCATATGGTTGTGCCACAAATTTAGTGTAAAGAGCAGTCCACCAGTGTTGAAAAGTAGGAAAAATGATGTTCGGATCCACAAAGGTGAAAGGTACTTTCTGAAGAATTACTCTCTATTTTTGTAACATGTCATTTATACGAGATTGTGTCTGGCCCCTTCTGTAAGTGGAAGTAGATGCCATGAATAGTGTCAGCTCAGGGATACTCTGTATCAATCCAAATTGTCTGCACCACATGCAGGGGATATAAGCCTCAAAAGTAGCAGCACAAGCAAAATTTACTTCAAAAGATACATTCACATTCAGATATCGCTAAGAAGTAAAAATAGCCCATGTCTTAATGCATCTTGCATAGTAGTAGGTTGCCTATTATTCAACCACAATGGGAGACCAGCCGCTACTAACTCATTAACATCATCAAATGGAGTAAACCTAATGCGGTTCGGATCTTTAAGGTTCTTGAAGTACTCAATAGCTCCCTCGGGTAGTAAATTATAAATAGAGTTAGATACTCTATAAGCAAACAGCCCATCAACTGGCGGTAGAAGTAAATTTCTCAAATCAGGGAAATAACTGAAAAGCCAAAGTTGTACTATCCACAGGCTGCCATTCCATTTGCTAAAAGGTTTATCGAAAATTAATTTGTGCAAGTCGTGGAAGACAGAACCCAGAAGCATGGTTCCCAGGGCATAAGGTCGTCCACAAGCTAGTTCATGAGCCAAGGGGAGATACTCACCGGGGGGATGACCAAAAGCAAGGAAGAAGATAAATTTGCACAGCAAAATCCATAGGAACCTCACATGATCAAATGAACTGGTACCTTGGCCAAACTTGATAGCCGAGGACTAGAAGTCGAATGATTAGGTGTATGAGACTGAGTCAAGCAGATGAGGGACTAGGCTTGGTGCATCGTCTCCAATAATGGGTAAGCCAGTCAAAGCATAAATGTCTAGAAAAGTAATAGACATCGAACCCATGGGAAAAATAAAAGAGTTACAATAATCAAACCAAAATCTTAAGGCACCATAGACGACACTAGTGCACAGAGGAGGGCTTGATTGTGGAAGCCTGCATAGTTGGATAAAGGAGTTGATCCCCATATCTTCCCCAAGGGATTTGTACACTAGTTCGAGAAGGTCTATCCATTTGTTCCATAAGTTTGTATGTCGAGGCCAAGACTTGATCTTGTATGCTGGCAGAGGAGCGAGAGAAGGATGAGATAGAATCAATTCAGTGTTTCTCATTAATGGCAGGGGTGATGGTGGGGGGCCTTTTTGTTAATGGTCGAATAGTCTTATCAAAAGAGTAGGGATGATGTTCCTATGAGTAAAGCAAGAGAATTAGAAGATAAAGGGAAACAGTGCATAATATGTGTTATGCGAGGATCAATAAAGGAGTTTACCTGAGGAGCTAGTGCATTAGTAGGAACACCACCTGAGTTATTAGCAAATGCTGCAGTGGAACCTATTATAAGGAGTTTAAAGTTAGTTCTTTTCTAGGGAAATTTTGATAGAGTTTCCAGAAACTAGTTTTCCACTCTTACCAGTCTCATAGCATCAACAGAGATACTCCTCAAACCGAATTAGGTATACAATCTGCAAAATTCAAAATTTTTCAGCATAGTTCCTTATCTTGAGCTAAAGTCAAAAAAATATTCTCATTAGTGTTAAATTCTGGAAAATAGTTGTCAAGGAAACTAGTGTTAAAGGAACTGGTGCCTCTAATTCGAGTCCAGGGATAGAATTAGGTAAGGGGTTTTCATTGGATATCATATTCTTGATTCGTGAGAGATCACTAAAAAATTAAATAAATAAATAAGTAATAAAAATAAATAATAAATAAATTGAAAAAAAAAAGGAAAACAAACGAAATTAAAAAAAAGGATTTGCAAGGATGGCAATTGATGTCTCGTGATTATCAAGGCTAAATCGCCTTGGATTTTCCAATAAAGTAATGAGGAGTTACCTGTTTGGATGGTGGATGGTCAAAGTTCGTTTGGTACCAAGTTTGACAGAAAAAAAAAAAAAAAAAAAAAAAAAAAAAAAAAAAACACTAAATAATTAAATAAATAAATAAGTTAATAAACAATAATAATAATAAATTGAAAAAAAAAGGAAAACAAAACGAAAATTAAAAAAAGGATTTGCAAGGATGGCAATTGATGTCTCTGTGATTATCCCAAGGCTAAATCGCCTTTGGATTTTCCAATAAAAGTAATGAGGAGTTACTATTTGTTTGGATGGTGGGAATGGGTCAAAGTTCGTTTGGTACGCAAGTTTGACAGAAAAACAAAAAAAAAAAAAAAAAAAAAAAAAAAGAAAGAAAGAAAGAAGAAGAAGAAGAAGAAGGGAAAGAAACACTTAATGACCGAACACAATGCTACATGAGCGGCACAAAATGCTAGGAGCAAGAAGGTGAATGGCACAATTAAGGTTTGAAGTCCGGTTT